CGTCGCTGGTCCCGGAGGTGCTCGTACCGCTGGTACTCGAGCTGCTGGGGCTGGTGGTGCTGTGTCTGAGGGTGCTCCCACTGGGGACACTGCAACTGGGAGTACTGCTGGTGGAGACAGTCCTGGAGGAGCTGCCGCTGGGGTTGGTGGGGCTGCTGTTGGTGCGGGAGCTGCTGGTGCTGGCGGCACTACACAGTCGCGCCTGTTCTTCGCTCCGCCGTCTCCGTCGTCTCTGCTGCCGCCTGCCTCTGTTCTTCGCCAGGTTCTTAGTCTTCCGTCTTCTACCGGTCTTCCCCTCCTGCCTGACTCACCGCTTCCTGCTCCTTCTCCTTACACTGAGCAGTCAGGGGGTCTTACTGAGCGTCGTGCGCCTGCGTCGCGTCCTGTCTCGCCAGTTCGCTCTGGTCACACTGTTCGTCGTGTCCCGCGTTCGAGGTCGCCGCCTATCCCCAGCGCCCACCTTGTCGTTCGTCGTCCTTCCTCTGTTCCACAGTCTGTTCCTCTGCCGTCCCCTCCTGCGTCGTCTTTGCCTCCTGTTCCGGACCCTGCGTCTGACCGGTTTCGTGCTGAGCACCCTACTGTCACGCGTCTGCTCGCCACTGTTGTCACTGACCCCTCGTTTGAGTCTTCTGCTGCGTCTGCCTTGGTCGCTGAGCTTGTTGACTTTGCTGCTGCCTGTCGTCTAGACTACGCTGCTAGCCTTGTTGCTGAGTCTGGGTCTGTCTGTCCTCCGTCCATCGGGGGTGAGTGTGCTCTTGGCACGGACGTCCTTGAGGACAGGCAGGAGGACCTTGAGTGTCTTGCAGCCGCTGCGCCTCATCTCGTGGCCATGCTGCTTGCCCCTGAGGGAGACCCGGATGCTATAGACATCCCTACCCCGCGATCTTACGCTGAGGCGATCGCGGGTCCCTACTCCTCTCAGTGGCAGGCAGCCATGGACGCAGAGATGGCATCCTGGAAGTCCACTGGCACTTACGTCGACGACGTTCCCCCTCCTGGGGCGAACATCGTCAGTGGCATGTGGATTTTCAGGGTGAAGCGTCCGCCGGGTTCTCCGCCTGTTTTCAAGGCTCGTTACGTTGCCCGAGGCTTCAGTCAGCGAGAGGGAGTCGACTTCTTCCAGACCTTCTCCCCCACCCCGAAGATGACCACTCTTCGGGTACTGCTGCACGTTGCCGCTCAGCGTGACTACGAGCTTCACTCTCTTGACTTCAGCACAGCTTTCTTGCAGGGTAGTCTGCACGAGGAGATCTGGCTGCGCCGCCCTCCTGGCTTCACTGGGTCGTTTCCTCCTGGTACCCAGTGGAGCCTCCGGCGGCCGGTCTACGGTCTCCGCCAGGTGCCACGCGAGTGTCACGACTCACTGAAAACTCTTGCGGCTCTTGGGTTTGCGCCTTCTACTGCTGACCCGTCGCTGTTTCTGCGCACCGACACTTCGCTGCCGCCGTTCTACATCTTCGTGTACGTCGACGACTTGGTCTTTGCCACTGCTGACACTGAGGCTCTCGCCCACGTGAAGTCCGAACTGCAGAAGAGACACACGTGCACAGACCTGGGTGAACTGCGCAGCTACCTTGGCTTGCAGATCACCCGGGACAGAGCACGCCGCACCATCACACTGACTCAGTCACACATGGTGCAGCAGGTCCTTCAGCGCTTCGGCTTCACTTGGTCCTCAGCACAGGCCACTCCTCTGGCCATAGGTCACTCGCTCTCAGCTCTGCCTTCGGATGAGTCCGTAGAGCCGAGTGGTCCTTACCCAGAGCTAGTTGGTTGCCTCATGTACCTGATGACTTGCACTCGTCCTGACTTAGCGTACCCTCTTGGCCTTCTGGCCCGCTACGTGGCTCCTGGTAGGCACCGAAAGGTGCACTGGGATGCTGCGAAGAGGGTGTTGCGCTACTTGTGCAGTACATCAGGCATGGGGCTCGTGCTTGGAGGAGGGAGCCCAGTTGTTCTCACTGGGCACTCTGACGCTTCTTGGGTTGACGACCAGGCTACACAGCGGTCGTCACAGGGTTACACCTTCAGTCTTGGCTCTGGCTCTGTTTCTTGGCGTTCTACACGCTCGTCTTCAGTTCTCAGCTCCAGTTGTGAGGCTGAGATCTACGCCACATCCATGGCTGCTCAGGAGTTACGCTGGCTCACCTACCTGCTGACCGACCTGGGAGAGCGGCCTCGTTCTCCTCCAGTGCTGTACGTTGACAACAAGGCTGCCATTGCCTTGTGTGAGGAGCACAGACTGGAGCACAGAACGAAGCACATCGCTCTGCGGTACTTTCTGGCTCGAGAGTTGCAGCAGCGTGGTCAGCTTCGTCTGCGTTACGTGGCCACTCAGGCCAACACTGCTGATATATTCACCAAGGCACTCCCGCCTAGTGATCATCAGCGCTTCTGCACTTTGTTGGGGCTTGTGCCCACTTTTCCTCACTTGCTGTAGACTTTGCGTGTACTGTGATCTATATATATATATATACCTGCATGCTTGCTAGATATAGATCACTGTGATGCTTGTGTTACATATATGCCTCTGCATGTGAACTGTGTTAGAATCTAGAGACAAGAATGAATGCATTGATGAAGAGTTGGGTACATAAGCTAACCCTAACATTGGGTTGTACCCCATATGGGCTACCCCACTAGCAGCCTACACAAACACAATATGCATAGTTTGACACACCCCCATAGGCAAAGTGGGGGAGAACAAGGGGTCACAAGACCAGTCAAGAGAAACAAAACAAGCTCAGGGTGGATCACAACGTCACCACACACACTGAGCACAAGCAAAGGGCCACAAGGCCTGTCTACTTGCAGAGGTATATATGCAACAAACAAAGTACAGTGATCACTACCTAGCAAGAGCAAGCATGCAGGTATATATATATAAAGATCACAGTACAGGCAGAGTCTACAGCAAGTGTGGAAACGTAGGCACAAGGCCCAACAAGGTACAAAAGCGCTGATGATCACCAGACGGAAGTGCCTTGGTGAATATATCAGCAGTGTTGGCCCGAGTGGCCACGTGTGCAAGACGAAGCTGACCACGCTGCTGCAACTCTCGAGCCAGGAAGTAATGCAGAGCGATGTGCTTCGTTCTGTGCTCCAGTCTGTGCTCCTCACACAAGGCAATGGCTGCCTTGTTGTCAACGTACAGAACTGGAGGAGAACGAGGCCGCTCTCCCAGGTCGGTCAGCAGGTACGTGAGCCAGCGCAGCTCCTGAGCAGCCATGGCGGTGGCGTAGATCTCAGCCTCACAACTGGAGCTGAGAACAGAAGACGAGCGAGTAGAACGCCACGAAACAGAACCAGAGCCGAGGCTGAAAGTGTAACCCTGTGACGACCGCTGTGTAGCCTGGTCGTCAACCCAAGACGCGTCTGAGTGCCCAGTGAGAACCACCTCTCGCCGTCCTCCAAGCACGAGCCCCATGCCCGATGTACTGCACAAGTAACGCAGTACCCTCTTCGCAGCATCCCAGTGCACCTTTCGGTGCCGACCAGGAGCCACGTAGCGGGCCAAAAGGCCAAGAGGGTACGCAAGGTCAGGACGAGTGCAAGTCATCAGGTACATGAGGCAGCCCACTAGCTCTGGGTAAGGACCACTCGGCTCTACGGACTCGTCCGAAGGTGGAGCTGAGAGCGAGTGACCTGTAGCCAGAGGAGTGGACTGTGCCGAGGACCAGGTGAAGCCGAAGCGCTGAAGGACCTGCTGCACCATGTGTGACTGAGTCAGAGTGATGGTGCGACGTGCTCTGTCCCGGGTGATCTGCAAGCCAAGGTAGCTGCGCAGCTCACCCAAGTCTGTGCACGTGTGTCTCTTCTGCAGCTCCGACTTCACCAGGGCGAGAGCCTCAGTGTCAGCAGTGGCAAAAACCAAGTCGTCGACGTACACGAGGATGTAGAACGGCGGCAGCGAAGTGTCGGTGCGCAGAAACAGTGACGGGTCAGCTGTGGAGGGCGCAAACCCGAGAGCCGCAAGCGTAGTCCTCAGTGTGTCGTGCCACTCACGAGGCGCCTGACGGAGACCGTAGACTGGCCGGCGGAGGCTCCACTGGGTACCAGGAGGGAACGACCCAGTGAAGCCAGGTGGGCGACGCAGCCAGATCTCCTCGTGCAGGCTGCCCTGCAAGAAATCTGTGCTGAAGTCAAGCGAGTGAAGCTCGTAGTCACGCTGGGCGGCAACGTGCAGCAGTACCCAAAGAGTGGTCATCTTCGGGGTGGGGGAGAAGGTCTGGAAGAAGTCAACCCCCTCTCGCTGACTGAAGCCTCGAGCAACGTAACGTGCCTTGAAGACAGGCGGAGAATCCGGCGGCCGCTTCACCCTGAAAATCCACATGCCACTGACGATGTTCGCCCCAGGAGGGGGAACGTCGTCGACGTAGGTGCCTGTGGACTTCCAGGATGCCATCTCTGCGTCCATGGCTGCCTGCCACTGAGAGGAGTAGGGACCCGCGACCGCCTCAGCGTACGAGCGCGGGGTGGGGATGTCTAGTGCATCCGGGTCTCCCTCAGGGGCAAGCAGCATGGTCACGAGATGAGGCGCAGCGGCTGCAAGACACTCAAGGTCCTCGTGCCTGTCCTCAAGGACGTCCGTGCTAAGAGCACACTCACCCCCGACGGACGGAGGACAGACAGACTCAGACTCAGCGACAAGACTAGCAGCGTAGTCTAGACGACAGGCAGCCGCAAAGTCAACAAGCTCAGCAACCAAAGCAGACGCAGCAGCAGACTCAAACGAGGGGTCAGTGACAACAGTGGCGAGCAGACGCGTGACAGTAGGGTGCTCAGCACGAAACCGGTCAGACTCAGGGTCCAGAACGTGAGGCAAGGAAGACGCAGGAGGAGACGGCAGAGAAACAGACTGCGGAACAGAGGAAGGACGACGGACGACAAGGTGTGCGGTGGGGACAGGCGGCGAACGCGGACGCGGAACACGACGACCGGTACGACTAGGACGAACAGGCGAGACAGGACGCGACGCAGACTCACGACGCTCAGCAAGACTACCCGTCTGCTCAGTGTAAGGAGAAGGAGCAGGCAGCGGTGAGCCAGGCTGTAACGGAAGACCAGTAGACGACGGGAGAGTAAGAACCTGACGAAGAACAGAGTCAGGCGGCGGCAGAGACGACGGAGACGGCGGAGCGAAGAACAGTCGTGGCGGCGCAGCTGCACCAGAACCGGCAGCTCCAGCAGCTCCAGTACCCCCAGCAGCTCCAGCAGCTCCAGCAGCTCCAGAAGCTCCAGTAGCAGAACCGACACCTCCAGGCCCAGGGTCTCCAACCCCAGTGCCTCCAGCAGCAGCACCCCCAGAACCAGTACCTCCAGTCCCAGGGTCTCCAGCCTCCACGTCTCCAGCAGCAGCACCCCCAGAACCAGCACCTCCAGTCCCAGGGTCTCCAGCCTCCACGTCTCCAGCAGCAGCACCCCCAGAACCAGCACCTCCAGTCCCAAGGTCTCCAGCCTCGGTGTCTCCAGCAGCAGCACCTCCAGACGCAGCACCCTCAGCCCCAGCAGCTCCAGTACCTCCAGTACGAGCACCTCCGGGACCAGCGACTCCAGCACCTCCAGTAGAAACAGTACCAGCACCACTCCTAGCTCCAGGGACGGCAGCAGAAGTACCTCCAGCAGTAGAGCCCCGGGCTCCAGCAGCGCGACCCTGACGGCGACCGTACCAGTCGTGCAGCTGCTGCGAGGTGAGAGGCACACGTGGACGAAGGCGGCTACTCCAAGGAGACCGCGCAACAGCAGACTCTGAACCCTCAGCGCCAGCACCCTCAGCAGCTCCAGCGCCACCAGCACCAGGACCTCCAGCAGCTCCAGAACCTCCAGCGCTCGCACCCTCAGCAGCCCCAGAACCACTAGCTCCAGCACCTCCAGACCCCTCACACGCAGGCTCAGCACCTCCAGGCTCGACACCCTCAAGCTCCGCACCCCCAGGCTCCGCACCCCCAGGCTCAGCACCCCCAGACTCAGCACCCCCAGAAGTAGCACCCCGAGCAGGACCACCCCCAGTAGGACCTGAGTCACCAGTGACCTCAACCGGCGCAGGGAAGGGAGGAGGGTCTACCTGAGACACACCTGAGGGAGCAGGACCTGGAGCGGGGAGAGGGTCGACCTGGGGAGCACCTGGAGCGAGGAAGAGCGGCGGGGGAGGGAGAGGGGCAGTGCGGTAGGGGAAGAGACGGTAAAAGGGAACCGACTCGTCGAACGTGACGTCCTGAGACGCAAAGACACGGCGCGAGGTGGGGTGGTAAAACTGCCAACCAGGCGCGTCAGGGACAAAGCCAAGGAAGACACAGGGAACTGCACGGGCGGAGAGCTTGTCCGCAGTGGTATCGCGGACAAAGGCACGAGCACCCCAGACCCGGAAACGCGACGCATCGCCAACCTTCCCCGTCCACAGCAGTGTGGGCGAGGTCTCCGGCAAGGAGACACGGGGCCAGAGGTTGAGCTGATGCGCGGCGTACCGGACTGCAAACGGCCACAAAAAATGGGGGGCAGCCGCATGGATCATGGAGGTACGAGCGACCTCCATGACTAAGCCAATGCGGCGCTTAGCAACCCCATTCTGCTGCGGAGAGTCCGGAAGCGTGAACGACTGGGTGATGCCGTGCTCCGCACAGAAGGCTGCCAAGAGGTCTGAGGAGAACTCACCACCTCTGTCAGAGTGCAGACGCAGGACGGGAAACTCCGTCCCAAACCGCTCGCGGAGCTGGAGACGGGCAGCGCGGATCCAAGGGATCAAAACAGCAGGGACCTCCCCCTTGCTGCGCAGGGGAAAGACCGTGGTGTAACGCATGTAGTCGTCGACGACCAGCAGGAAGTACCGCTCGTGGCCCTGTCCACGGACGCGGGCTGGGCCCCACACGTCCAGGTGGAGAGTCTGCAGGGGAGCCTCTGTGGGAGGGAACGAGGAGGAGTGAGGAGCGGCGCGCTGCCGTCCCTCGACGCAGGGAATGCAAGGAGGCGCAGGCGAGGGAGGGAGGGCAGGCAGAGTCCTGGGGAGACCAGAAACCAGAGAGCGAGAGTGCATGCCACGAAGGCGCTGCACCGAGGGGTGACCAAGGCGGTGGTGCCACAGGAGGGTCTGGTGCGACAAAGCACGACACTCGCAGGGGGCCGACAGCTGACCTGACGCAGACGCAGACGCAGCTACCTGAGGGGCCGCAGTGGTCAGTGTGTACAGACTCGAGCCAGGCGCACGGGTAAACGTGGCCAGGTGTCGGCCCGTCCTAGCACACGTACAGTGAGTCACCCGCTGACCCGCAGGAGTGAACTGGTCAACTCCCCCATCCTGGAGGTCAGCTCCACTCACCAAGTTCGTAGAGAACGAGGGGAGGTAAAGACCTGACAGCACGCCAGATGGGACGGCCGGACACGGCAAAACCGTGGAGTAGCGGGCAACGACAGGACCCCCAGAGGGGTCCGCCAGGGAGACTGCAACCGGCCGACTAAGCGGCGTGAGTGTGGTGCAGTCGCGAAAGAAGGAGCGGGAAGCTCCTGAGTCGAGGGTGAAGGTGTGCAAGGCCGCAGCAGGCGCAGTACCAGAGAGAGCAGACTCACAGGCACCTGGGGCGGCAGCCTCACCAGCACCTAGAGCAGAAGACGCAGTAGCACCGAGAGCAGCAGCCTCACCAGCACCTAGAGCAGGCGACGCACGAGCACCTAGAGCAGCAGCCTCACTAGCACCTAGAGCAGCAGGCTCTATACCTGGGTCAGGCGGTACGCACAGGTAACAGGCTCGGTCAGCACTAGTAGGCAATGCATACATGGCAGTGAGAATAACATCATAGTCAAGAGCAAAGATATCTACCCTCTGGCTAAGCAGCTCCAGCCAGGTGGGGAGCTCAGCCTCGTCACCAAACTCGGTACGCCAGGCGTCGCTCAGGCGGGCGAAGCAGCGGGACTGTGTGTGACCAGGCGTCCCGCAGGTCTGACCAGCTCGATCACCTGTGCGAATGACGTACCGGCAGCGGACTGGACTGAAAGACCCTCTACTCTGAGCGTACCACTCCTCGAGCTGCCGAGACGTAAGTGTCTCGCGTGGACGCCGCTGCAGCTGCAGCTGGCCACTGCTAGAGGCCCCCAACTGACCAGCTCCAGGGCGACAGCTACGACGGCTACCGCGACAGCCCCAACTAGTATACCACTCACTAAGCTGCTGGGGCGTGAGAGACTCGCATGAATGTCGCTGGAGCTGCATCTGGTCCCTTGCTAATAGCTAGTAGCAGCAGCAGCTCGGGCAGGGCAGGCGCGGCAGGCCGGCAGACAGGCAGGCAGGCAGGCAGGCTGACAGGCAGACAGGCCGGCAGGCAGGCAGGCAGGCTGACAGGCAGGCAGGCAGGCCAGCAGGCAGGCAGGCAAGCCGACAGGCAGACAGGCCGGCAGGCAGGCAGGCAGGCTGGCAGGCAGGCAGGCAGGCAGGCAGGCCAGCAGGCAGGCAGGCAGGCAGGCCGACAGGCAGACAGGCCGGCAGGCAGGCAGGCAGGCAGGCAGGCTGGCAGGCAGGCAGGCCGAAAGGCAGGCAGGCAGGCAGGTGCTCACCAAAGGCTGGAAGGGCAGGTGCTCGCCGGGCGAGCAGGGCCGAGTAGGCGCACGACTGCAGCGGCGATGGGGCCGTAACAGCGACTGTAGAGTAGGGCCGCAGCAACTGCAGGGTGGGGGGCCGCTTCAGCGGCAGTCGCAGAGTGGGGGCCGCATCAGCGGCAGGTCGGGGCCTCGGCAGCAGCAGCGAGGGGCCGCAGCAGCGGAAGGTCGGGGCCGATGCAGCTGCAGGCTATGCAGGGCAGCGCGCGGGGCTGCTGTGGGCCGAGCGCGGGCTGCGGGAGGCAGAAACAGGCCGCGCGCAGCAGCAGCTGGCCGCGCGCGGCTCGGCAGGGGCGGCGCGCGGCTCGGAGGGGGTCGCGCGCGGCAGCAGCGAGCTGCGCGCGGCTCGGCGGGGCCGCGCGCAGCAGAAAACGGGCTGCGCGCGGCTCGACGGGGCTGCGCGCAGCAGAAAACGGGCCGCGCGCGGCTCGACGGGGCTGCGCGCGGCTCGACGGGGCTGCGCGCGGCTCGGCGGGGGCTGCGCGCGGCAAATCCGGGCTGCGCGCGGCTCGACGGGGCTGCACGCGGCTCGCTGGGGGCTGTGCGCTGCGCTGACGGCGTGTGAGGGGCAGCAGAGCGGCGCGAGCAGCGAGGGCGACGCTTGAGGCAGCAGCGGGCAGCGGACGTGACTTAGGTCTGCGCGGTAGCAGCAGCAGACAACACAGTAGGCAGCAGGCAGTAGGCTACAGGCAGACGGCGCGCGCAGCGCAGCACGTCACAGGCACAGGCGTGGGGTAGCGGTAGGTGGGCCCGAAAAAAAAAACGGTCCTACGGACCTACTGCTCTGAAACCATGTTAGAATCTAGAGACAAGAATGAATGCATTGATGAAGAGTTGGGTACATAAGCTAACCCTAACATTGGGTTGTACCCCATATGGGCTACCCCACTAGCAGCCTACACAAACACAATATGCATAGTTTGACAAACTGGCCTTGTGGCTCTTTGCTTGTGCTCAGAGTGTGGTGACGTTGTGATCCACCCTGGGCTTGCTTGCCTTTCTTGACTGGTCTTGTGACCCCTTGCTCTCCCCCACTTTGCCTATGGGGGTGTGTCAAACAATATGTTTGTGTTGTTGCTGTGTAGGCTGCAGTGGGTTAGCCTTTAGGGGGTACACAATTCTAGGGTTTTGTATTTGTACTCCCATCTTCTCATAGTGCACAAGCTTCTCATTCTGACAATGTTCACGGGTCTTACGGAAAATAGTGTTTCTATTGTTCACATTGTTGGGCTGAGATAGCCCCTTAGGATCTTTTCAGGGGAGAACTCTGGGTAGGACAATTGTAATAGCGGAAGCTTTTAGTGAAGTAATTGTGAACCACCTTGCGCTAGTATGTGAGGGCAAAGTAGATTGATTATAACAGGAAAGTACAAGAATATATAGTGGTGTAAGGAATATCAAAGGATACGGTTATAACTACTTTTACTGTTGCTGTTGCGGTTCGATACAGTACGACTCGGGCAACTGCTCTGTAACGAGTCAGTTGTATGTCCTTAACTGTCGCGCTGTACTTGTCGGGTCAAAGGTCAGCGACCTTTGACCTTCGCGTAACCTCCAGCAACCTCTTCAACCCCCGAGGGTTGACTCGCGGGTGCTTCGGTGTAGTTTGCCTCGCTTCTGATGCGGTGTTTTCGACACGACTGAAGCGCTTAGGTCTTATTGTTTCCAACACTCCCCTTCGCTTCTGGAGTGTCGCTGCTGGTGACGTGGCCCTGTCCAGTCAGCAGCATGCAATACTCGAACTTTTGCTTTCCGAGTTTCTTGGTCAAGTAGTCAGCTGCCATCTCGGATGTGGGGCAGTATGACAGCTCGAGTCTCCCCTTCTCGATCTCGTCCTTCACGAAGAAGTAACGTAGGGCAATATGTTTCGTCCTGTTCGCGAAGCCGTTCTTGTTGGCGATGCGAATTGCTGACTGGTTGTCGCAGAACACGTTAAAGTTGGGTAACTCGGCTAACTTCGCTTCTTCCAGTAGCTCGCGAAGATAGAGTCCTTCTTTGGTGGCTGAGCAGAGTGCGATATATTCTGCTTCAGCTGAAGATAGCGCGATTAACTCCTGCTTGCTTGACTGCCAGGAGATAGGACCGATAGGCTCGAGGCGGTAGACGTAGCCGGTGCGTGAGCGTCTGTTGTCAGTGTCGCCGGCGTGATCGGCATCGACGTAGCCGATTAGCTTGGTTGGTGTAGCTGCGTTCTTGTGATAAGTTAAGCCGATCATTGCGGTGCTGATAAAGTAGTGCAGAGCGCGGTCAAGTTCCGCCAGGTGTTCTGCTTCAGGCTTCTTGAGATAAGTGGCGAGCTGGCTTGCGGAGTAGGATAGGTCGGGTCGGCAAGTGACGGCTGCGAAGAGAAGGCAACCTAGCTTCCTCTGATAGTTGCGTATGCCGGCGGATTTAAGTGGGGTAGATTCCTTATCGGCTCCTGTCGTGTAGCGGTATGGTGTTGAAATCGCGGCTGGCGTAATTCCGAATCGTTTGGCGATGGCGTCGGCGTACTTTTCGGCGCTGAGGTAGATCGCGTCGTTATCTTCTCGAATGTTAAGTCCGAGATACTGTGTGACGGTAGATGAGACAGTGAGGGTGAGGTCCCTCTGCAGCTCCCCTTCGAACCAGGTGGTGATGCTGTCGGTAGAGCCGATGTAGAGAAGATCGTCCACGTAGACAATTAGCAAGATGTAGTCGCTGTTCTTCGTGAGGCGGTACATGCCCTGATCGTGCGGGAGTTGTTTGAAGCCGATGCGGATGAGACGAGTATGCAGGTACTGCTGCCACAGTCGCGGTGCCTGCTTGATCCCGTAAAGCGATTTTAGTAGCTGGCAGACGTGCGTGGAATTTGTGTTGGAGCCGTGCGGTAGTTCCACGAAAATCTCTGCATCGACCGGTGCGTAGAGAAAAGCGTTTGCGACGTCGATTTGGCGCAGTTTCTTTTTCTTCATAGCGGCGATGGCGAGAAGAATTCGAAGTGAAGTGTGGCGGCTGACCGGAGCGAAGGTTTCGGTGAAGTCTCGTCCATGTTCCTGGTCAAAGCCGCGAACGACCCATCGTGCTTTAAACTTGTCGATGGTGCCGTCGGCCTTCGTCTTCACACGGAAGACCCATTTCCCGGTAAGAATGGTCTTGTTTCGCGCTACACCGATGGGAACGACTTTCCAGGTGTTGCGTTCCTCTAATGCCTTCAGCTCCTTGTCCATGGCTTCGCGCCATTTTTCCTTATGCTCCCCCCCCAGAGCCTGCTGAACTGTCGCAGGCTCCTTAGGAATGTTGACGCCGTGGACCGCGGTGACGAGACCAAGGATTTGGAGTCCGCTCTGTGTGTAGCGGGGGAGTGTGGTGTCCTCGGGATAGACTGCTTCGTCTCCAGTTTCTGGATCGGGTGCGAAGTTGGGCCCTATGCGTTCTGCTTCGTTGGTGTTGACTTCAGCAGGTGTAACGTAACCGTTGTCGGCGAAGTGGTAGTAAGTTTCGGCGTTGACGCTTTCGCGAGGGTTTTCTTCGTCCATCGGTACGTCCACTGAGCAGTAGGGAAGAGGTCCGGCTTCTTCCGAGGCTCCTTCCACATTCTGCTCGTCCCAGTCAGCTTCGTCTTCTGTCGAAGCGAAGGCTCGATCGCCACGGAAGCCGCCTGTGGGGTCTCGATTTTCGTCCAGGTTGGCAAGGTACGTTGGCAGTGTGAGTCGTTCGTAGAAAATCACGTCACGTGCTGCTACTGTTTCTTTGCTGTTGATATCGAAGATCTTCCATGCGTTGTAATGTTTTTCGATGCCCAGGTGTAGTCCCCACTGTGCGCGTTGGGAGAATCGGCCGGCTCGTGCAGATGGGGGTCGGTACTGTACCATGCAGCCGAAGACTCGTAACATTTTTGTGCTGCCCAGTTTTCCTGTCCACAGCAGATGCGGTGATGTGTTGTTCGGGAGTGACGACGAAGAAAGCAAGTTGTGCAGCATCACGGCGTGGTCCATTGCTTCGGGCCACTGGTGGTTGGGTAGCCGCATGCCACGTAACAGTTTGCGCATGGTGTTCTGCAGAGTCCTGTTCATCCTTTCTGCTACACCCTGCTGTTGATGGGCGTAGGGAAGGGAGATGAGTCTCTTGATTCCCTTCTCCGCCAGGTACTGCTTGAATCGCTGTGACGAGTATTCTCCTCCTCCGTCTGATTGGAAGCTTTTGAGTTTAGCTCCCGATTCCCGTTCTGCTGCTGGAAGCCATGCCACGAAAGCCTCGAAAGCCATGTCGCGACTTGGTAAGTTTAGGTGCCAGACGTAGCGTGTAGCGGCGTCGATGAAGGTGATGGTGTAGTTATACGCGTTTTGTCCGGGTTCGCGGTTGTACAAGATGTCGCTGTATACTTTCTCGAGTGGTGCATATGCAGGTGCGCTTGGGTTGTGATGCGAAACGAAGGGCTGATGCGGTAAGTCAGCTTCGGGGCAGGTGAAGCATGTTCCTCGAGCTCGCTGAAGTTCTCTGCCGTCTGTTAAAAGCAGAGAGTCCTTGTCGAGTACTCCTGCTCGAATTGTGTTGTTTAACACAGTGTTGCTTGGGTGTCCCATTCTTGCGTGCCAGATTTCTTCGTTGGCGCGATGACCGGGTGAGCGCTGATACATGTCGGAGTTGGAGTAGAGA